AAGCTCTCGTTCGCAATGTCAGCCAGGGGCTTGCCGCTCGTCTTCTTGGGTCCGGGTGCCTTCTTGGCTTGCGGAGGAGTGTCTCCGAGCAGCATCTCGTCGTCGTCGTCTAACGGGTCCTCGTCTACGTCTATATCCGAGTTCTCCTCGTCTGAGTCGGCTTTTCGCTTCTTCTTGGGCGCGACCTTTGCTTTGGGCTTTGCTTGCGTCGCGTCCTTTGCCGGGCGTCCACGGGGCTTGCTGGCGCCAGCTGCCTTCTTAGGAGCCGGTGCCTTTGCCTTTACGGCTTTGACGGGCTTGACGGGCTTGACGGGTGAGAAGTCCTCGCTCTCGCCCTCGCCGAAGGAATCCATGAGGGAGTCGTCCATGGCGATGGAAGGTCAGTTGTCGGAGTCCCGTAGGACGTAAAAGAGGGTGTAAAACGAAAGCAAAGCTGCGATGAGTTGCACTGGTCTGCGCGAAAACGAAAGAAAAGGTTCGGTGTAGAGGGCGGAGTTGAGGGGCGGCGTGTTTTGTTTACATTTGGTTGGGTTTCCAGGGCCAGGGTGTCGCCTTACTTAGCGCCGATCCGCTCCGCGGCTACTGTGATTGATTGGCTCGCTTAGCCATCACCTCACCCAGCCTCGGTGAACTGCCACGAGAGGAACTGCAACGAGAGAGAGAGAGAGAGTCGGTGAGGAGAGAAGTTTTTGCTAGCGAGGGAGCCTCATTTGTTTGAGAGAGTTGGTGAGGAGAGGACGGTTTCCCCCAACTGAGATAGACTAGCTGGCCTAGCTGAGACGCTGACTTACCAAGGCGTCGTGCTCCAGCAATAGGCAGTGGGAAGAAGACACACGCAAGGTATCCAGATGGATTAGATACGGGCACTTGAGATGGTGATGCTCTACATACTTCCGTCTGAACAGCTTTAGCTTACAACCTCACCACAACTTTGCCGCGAGCCCGGCCCTTCAATAACATCTCGAGACCCTCCTTCGCCCTTTCAAGCGGCAACACAGTCTCCACAAACGGCACAATATCTTTCTCACCGACAAACTTGACCAGATCCTCGAAGTCGCCTCTACTCCCCATATAAGACCCATGGATGTTGACTCCCTGGGTGAACAGCTTCACGAGGTCCACCTGAGCAAACATGCCTCCACTGTGCAAGCCGCATGACACAACCGTACCACCCGTGGCGACGGACGCTATAGAGTGCGCGAAAGTGTGTTCCCCACTCATATCGAACACTGCTGCCACTTTTTCCGGGAGCTCTTCGCCTGGGGAAAAGGCCCGGTGGGCGCCAAGTTCGAGAGCGAAAGCGCGTTTCGCCTCGTCACGGCCAGTAGTCCATACAGTCATGCCGGCTGCGCGACCCATTTGAATGAGGGCTGTGGCAATCCCACCGGTGGACCCCTGAATCAGCATTGTCTGACCTTTCTTCAGTCCCGACCTCTTGAAGAGCATGCGATATGCCGTAAGCCAGGCGACTCCGAGAACCGACGCAGTCTCCATTGACATGTTTTCCGGCTTCTTAACCACATTACGCTCAGGAACAACAACGTAGTCCGCCAATGATCCCTGCGTCAACTCACCAAGGACATGGCGATCCGGGTCAAGCGTTTCGTCGCCCTCGTAGTCCAGGTTTCCCATCACGGGGAAGATGACGACCTCGGTGCCGTCATCTAGTGTTCCAGCTCCTTCGTTCCCGAGTATCAGGGGGAACTTGATGTCGAACATGCCAATACCACGTAGCGTGAAGATATCGTGAAAATTGAGGCCGACGGCAGAGAGTTTGACCCTCAGCGAGCCCTTTGGGATTTCGGGGACCTTTCGGACGTCGCTCCTTAGGCCTGAGAGAGGATCATCAATGTTTCCGGATGCAGCCCATACAGCGCGCATAGTGGCCTTATCGGGGCCGATTTGGTTTATGCGAAGAAGTCGGATGGCGCCTTGATCGTCGAGGTAGAAGTATAGAAAGCACTGGAATGGTTCCGTTATGCCATAGTCCGCTTCGTAATCGCCGTCCGTCTCTATCTTTATCCACGTATTTGTGCCAGTAGTACCAGCATCGATTATCTTGGTGCTCGCATTGCGAGATCTGAGCATGGCCTCGAACCACTCTTGGATTGCGGCATGGGTAGTATGGGCCTCGCCCTCATCGACCAGAGCCCCGTCTGAAGAGAAGCAAGAACCAAATTGGGAACTGTCGAGGCTTTTGATGGCTTCGATGGCCTTAGATACCGAAGCAGGGAGGCTAGGATTGGTAGATGTTTGGGGAGACATGTTGTACTTGCGATAGGATGTGAGTTTGGGAATATAGAAATTAGAATGATGTTCGACGACTCTACAGTCCTTATATGCGAAGAAAGTGTGGACTAATTTGAAGATGCCTCTAGTCAATCTCATAACGTTATGCTTGCGGAGACGCGGATTTTGCTCGGCGCGTTTTTGTCCGGCTGAGAAGCGGCTGAGCATAATGGTTCCACAGAACGATACCGTGAGCAACTGACGAAGCGCCCCCCCCCCCCCCCTGGCATCAATTTCAGACAATCCTATTGACAGTATAGCAGATTTTGGCAAAGCGTAAAATTATCACCTTTATCCTTACAAAGTGTTATCGTATCTAGCATACTAGGTAATGTCTAGAATAGATTGTATATAGGTGAGAGAACATAGTTCGGAGGGGCGCATCGGCAACGATTACGCTAGCGGTGTGCACTGGCTCTGAGTGGGAAAAGCGAAGCTTCCCATGTTCCCACTCGAAACTCACTCGCAATTTTCTGTCGAGAACGGGAAAGTGCGGTGACCTAGTCGTTTGTTGAGGGGGGGTTGCGGGGAGCTTGCGGAGAGGCGCGAAGTGGACTCAGCGCCGAGCCTCCCTAGTCCCTTCGTGGATGGCCCCATGACCCACTAGGCATAGCGTGTATTAGAACCAGCACCCGAGGTTTGTCATCCTTACAACAACAGGCTGACACCATATCGTCCAGCCATCCTCCAGGCTTTCTCCAGTTAGTTCCGCAATAACCCACTCTGCGTTTTTCAGTCATGTCCGCAAATTCGTCATCACGCCGCAGATCGTGCAGCGAGTGCGTCAAAGCGAAGCGGAAGTGCGGCATGGAACTTCCGCGATGCAGAAGATGCGAGAAGAAAGACATACTATGTTCCTATCCCACCAATACTGGCCCATCGTTATCAGACATGCCGTTCCCGGAGCTAGAGTTCCCCTGGTTGGATGACTTGATGCGAGATCCAAACGTGTCGCCCTGGTCCGGTACACTTCAGCCACAACTGGCAGGCTCATCGGCGTCATACACTGCACAGATAGAACCAGATGTTCATCCTGCCCCTCAAGGTGTACCCGAATATCTTGTAGCAGTGGAGGGCCGAACCAGAACGACGCTCACGCGTCCGGAAACCGAAGCAGCACTGCACAGATTCAGGACCTGGCCCCATAAGTGGCTGTGGGAAGGCAAAGCCCCTTTCATACATCCACGGCTTTATGCGTCTAGCATGCCGAAACCCCTTCAGGATGCGTACGCAGCATGTGCCATCTACTCGACTAAGAATGAACGAAACGAATTCGTTGCCTTCACAGTGATCGAAGCAAAAGCAAACGAATTAGTACAGTCTCCCAACCAACACTCTTGGACGCCTCTAGACCTGCTCGCGGCCGTCCAAGCGCTCCTCATCTACCAGTTCATCCGACTCTTCGACGGCGACATCCGCCAACGCGCCCTCGCAGAGGCCGCAGAACCCGTCCTAGCAGTCTGGGCCGAGCAGCTAAAGTCGCGGACAGAAGAAGAGCAGCGCTACACCACTGCCACAGCCCCGTCCTGGCGCTCCTGGGTTTTCAGCGAATCTGTGCGCCGTACAATCACCATGTCGTACATGCTGCACGGCATCTACTCGTTCGTCAAACGGGGCTACTGCACCATGTCCGAGAAAGTGAAGTCAAACTCGTTCACTGCGCAGCGCGAGCTATGGGACGCTTCCTCGGCGCTCGAATGGGAACGCATCAAGCAGTCCCACGACCCGCATTGGATTCACAACATGGACTTCAACGCCATGCTCCAGCACGGCAGGGGCGCCGAGCTGGACGACTTCGGCCTGCTCATGCTCATCACATACAAGGGGAAGGACATCACTGACCATTGGCTTGCGGCGACCATGTCGGACTCCTATGCCAACCTGATCATGGACCCCAACTTTCACGGCACTGTGAGAGATATGGCGCAAGCTGCAAATCACTGTTCGTCCTCCCGGTCGACGTCAGAAGCCCTTTGAATGACTCCATCCCCAAACGGCAAAAGCCGCGCCCCGATCCTAATCTTCGGCTAGACCTCCCCGACCGTGAGGAGCACACGCAGCCTCGGTGGAACGTGGCACCTGATTGTGATGGCCGAACACGCGACACGACATTGCCGTAAGACAAGGCGCCGCGGGGGTTTGCGCCGATTGCCACGAGCCGGTCCTCATCAGACGACAGACAGCGCGCGCAAGGCGCACACGTCGGCGGACACCAGATGAACTAAACCCCCAAAGATGTCCATAGCTCCCAGTCACTGTAAGACCGTCGCGCAAACCAAATTGAAGCCACGCGTTCTAGATACATACCAGATGAATCAAGCACGAGTTGTACATGACCGTGCTCACTAGTCTGTGGTTAAGAATCCATCTGTAATTTGAAATTAAGCTATCTGTGACTGAAAATAAGCCATCTGTTCCCGAGCCACATGAGACGCCCTCCAACCCATCCCATCCCATCTGTTTGCTCTGCTTGTTCCCGCGCAACGCCCCTACCCCAATTAGACGTGTCCATGGCCCGTGTCCCCGTCCTTGTCCCCGTACCACCTCCCCTCCACCTCACCTGTACCTACCCGCAAATCACGTAACCGCCTAACCGCCAGGCCGACTAGTTACTCCTGTTACCTAAACAAGCAACTTTCCCATCACTTTCACAATTTTCTAAGAGGTTATATATCACAAAAACGAGAAAACACACATACAACAGCAACCGGGGCGTGGTGGTGGAGTGGTCAACACGCAAGACTTGAAATCTTGTTCCCTCGGGATCGTCAGTTCGAATCTGGCCCACGCCGAGAGCTGTTTCTTTTTTTTGCCGTTTTTTGGTAGCGGTGGTGGTGGTTGACATCACCGTGCGTAGCGGGATGTGGGTAAAGCTGAACATTGGCAATCAATCACCCGTGAGCACAAGCAATGGAGCCCGTAATGATTGGGCGGTTTTACATTTGTTGTTGTAGGTAGCTTCAACATAATTATCACCAGTTGAAGAATCCTGGTTTCACAAATCATCCGGACCCACCCTCTGCACAATAATCCCCGACGTCGCACCGCCGCCATTGCAGATAGCAGCAGCGCCGTACTGCCCGACTTCCAACTGATGCAGCAGAGTCACCAATATCCTGCTACCCGAGCTTCCCAGCGCGTGTCCCAGCGCAATAGCGCCACCCCGTGGGTTCACATTCTCTCCGCCGAGGCCGAGGATCTTCGCGTTGGCTTTGATGACGACGGCGAAAGCTTCGTTAAACTCCCAGACGGAGATGTCGGATTTCGAGAGGCCGGATTGCTTGAGGAGTTTCTCGACTACGGTGGCAGGCGCGATGGGGAAGTCGATGGGGTCTGCAGCGCGTTAGTGGGGTTGGGGGACTTTGGGGCCGTGATTGAGCTTACCGACTGCAGCATCGGCGTATGTGATGATCTTGGCAAGGACACGACTGTCTTTGCCGTACTGCTGTGCCATGTCCTTGCTCCCCAGCACAAGTGCCGAAGCCCCGTCGCTGAATGCAGAGCTATTCGCCGCGGTTACCGACCCGCCCGGATCCTTTGTGAATGCAGGCTTCAGCGTAGAGACCTTCTCCAGCTTGAGCTTGTTGTAGCTTTCATCCTCTGATACCACCGTCTCCCCCTTTCTTGACTTTACCGTCACAGGAGCAATCTCGTCTTTGAAAAGGCCAGCTTTGTATGCCTCCTGTGCGCGCTTATATGTCGAAATGGCGTATTCGTCCTGCTCTTCTCTCGAGATGTTGTGCTTCTTCGCTGTGTTCTCGGCACAGTTGCCCATGTGGATCTGGTTGTATACATCCCAAAGTCCGTCGCCGATCAGGCCGTCCTGTAGCTGCTGATGGCCAAAGCCCGGTTGCTGGCTCGCCCGGTTGAGATAGTATGGCACCCTGGTCATGTTCTCCATACCGCCTGCTACCTGCACTTCCGCCTGTCCCAACTCGATTGTGGCCGCGGCAAGATTTACCGCCTTTAAGCCTGATGCGCAGACTTTGTTGATGGTCGTGGCTTCGATGTTGTTTGGTAGACCGGCGAAGATGGCTGCTTGCCGTGCCGGAGCTTGTCCGACGCCAGCGCTCAGCACGTTGCCCATATACACGGCATCTATTGACGAGATGGGGACTTTCGACTTCTCCACGGCGGACTTGATCGCGGTGGCGCCCAGTTGGGGCGCCGGGACGGTTGTGAATACGCCATTGAACTACTGGATGGTCAGTAGACTGCACCATGATACTGGAGACAAACGTCTTACTGCGCCTGTAGGCGTCCGGCTGGCACTGAGAATATACACATCCTTGACCTCCTTCTTGGGCTGAGGCGAAGTGCTGAGATGTCTTTGTATGCTTGCAAGCCGTTGCTGAGGGCGGGACGCCATTCTCATGGACGTGCGGAGGGCCGACGCAGACATGGGGAACGCAGTCAACGCTTCAAATGATAACAGGGCGCAATGAACTCTTGCGAGTCGAATGTCCGACCTTCACATAGCGGATCGCACTGTTGACGTCGGCCTCGGCCAACGGTTCAAGTGCTTTGAGCCGAGGCACGGGCGGCTCGATGCGGTCTAACAGACCCCGACCCCTCCAGGTGCTCTTCACGTGCTGCTTACTCATCGACCAGAGCACATCCTCGACTTCAATTCCGCTCTGCAGCTTTCCCATCTCATCAACTCGTCACACCCAGGGCCGCGGTCAACACAAGCACTGCCACATCTATACGTCACGCGCTGAATCACCTCCTCGCGTCACTTGCCCGTGGCCCACCTCCCAGCTAATCTCAGGCGCCTCATCCCTCGCTTCCACCACGGAGCCACTGCACGTTTCTGCAGGTACTATGCGTGCAGAAATCACAGCTTTGCAGCACCTGTCATTTCAAATGATTTGCTCGCAAGCACGAAAAAGAGTGACCGTTACGCGTCCCTTGATTCCCAATGTTGCATCTACGGCGTACCTGGCTACGCTAGCACAGACACCCTACCACACAATTGACAGTTGACAGGTCGGTCGTAGGAACACCCGTTAGTATTGGGCACGTCTCTATACTCACAGCATGGTTGCCAGCACAGTTTCCTCACGGCTCAGACTCTGATCTCCTGATGCCTTCGTATTCTCCCATTCGTTCTCACCGGATTTCCTTCGCATGACGTCTATCCATTGGCCGCTCGTGTTACGCTCCGGAGTTGTACCTGCAGCGATTGTTTTGGTGCTACAGCATGGCGTGTAGCTGCTTGTGTCGCCTCGGAGAAATCATGTTCAACCTTGCCTTGGAGCCTCCTTGGTGCTTCGCCGATAGACAAACTCCTCACGTTCATAGCGGCAATGGGCACATGCATGACGGGAGCGTACTGTAACCTGGAGGTGGATTCACTTCCTTACTTGCTGCAACGTGCATGTACTGGCCAATCTCAATCGTCAGTGAGGCTATGCTATGTTCACGCGTTTTGAGAGGGAAAGTAGGGCATGGTACCTTCTTATGCCTAGTATAAAAGACACCCTCATCTCGCATGACAGACATCCGCAAGCTCCACCGCAAGATTCACACTCCGAGCAATCTTTCCAGCTACCCACCACCAGCTGTCTTTGTTCCACCTCAACATATACACCACCCCCACCGTCACCATGTACATGCCCACGCTCCTCACCACCCTCGCCCTCGCCGCCTCCACCCTCGCCGAATCCACCATCGTCAAGAACCACTGCGACTTCCCCGTCTGGGTCACCCAAGTGACGTCGCAAGGCCAAGGCGCAACCGTACAAATCGCCGCCTCGAGCGGCAAATGGTCCGAGCCGCAAGCCGGCGCCGGCGTGGCCATCAAGATCACCACGACGGCGGACGGCCTCTACACGGCCGCCCCCGTCCTGCACCTCTCGTACTCGTCGAGCGCCTCCAGCATCTACTACGACCTCAACTCCATCTACGGGTATAGCTTCTCGGGGAAGACGCTGAGGCTCCATGGCAGCGAGGCTGCGGCCCCTGAAGTCGTTTGGTCCGAGGAGCCGATCGCGCCGCCGAATACCAAGGCCTACATTGGCCAGACGAACTTGGTCCTGGAGCTGTGCGAGTAACTAGACACTCGCCATCGGACGCCGCGACCAGCATTGTAGCCAGCAAAAGTCACAACGGGGAAACTGGCAGGGGGTTGGTTTTAGGGGTGATCGGTGAACCTTGCTGGGAGGGTGGAGCAGATTGGGCAAGAGACATTAGGCTAGTTGGATAGAATGAAAATAGTTGTGTAGGCTACAAACATGGATGTGCAGTCAGAACGAAAACCCTTGTGTTGGCTACAAACATAGACGTGCAATAGAAAGCATCACTCCAAACAACACTGGCTGGAAATACACTGAATTGAAGACTACTGTCACTAACAAGCTAGAAAACCCAACGAAAACAGCCATCCTCCATGAGGATCATCCATCCTCTAACAAAAACACCCGTCTCCCCCGATCCTATTGGCACCCCACCCTCTATCTAATCAATGTCACTCACAAGCGCCGTCGGTCGTGTAGTCGACCGTGGGGTTGGCCGCCTCCAGAAACGCCTCCAGCTTGTCGCACACTTTGCGGTTGAAGTTCTGCGCGCGGCAGAGGGCATTGATGCACTCGCGTGGTTTGTGCACGGAGGAACCGTGGGGCTGAGGGATCGGGACGGGAGGGAACAGATATTGCCGAGCTAAGAGTTCGTGGTGCTGCTCCATCGTGGAGCCGATGCACTCCTCATGAGCTGGTGTTTCGCTTTCGCAGAGAACAAGCTCGATATCGTCGGTGACGCTGCATGTGCGGGTAGGCAAGCCATTGGGGCTTTTGTACGATCCATGGCAGGTGTGGAACGCGAAATTGTCGCCGAAGGCATGACCGCGGACAGTGGCGAGGTTGATCCAGACCTGCTCGCCGTCGTTGTCCACTGTATACTGGAAGTTGAGCTCAGGCTTATTCTTGTTGATGCCGTCGTTGTCGGGAGATATCTTGAGGGCGACGCCGGCATTGGCGGACGATGCAACACGCCAGGGCTCTTCGTAGCGGCTGCCGGACTTGACGAGCAGGTTGCTGATCTCGCCATGGGGCATGGCGGGGACGGACCAGATGAAGACGTCGCCAGGGCACTTGTTCGTGACGATGGCCTTGGAGTGGGCGAAGGCCACAAGGGCACTGACGACGAAGACAATGAAGTGGGCGACCATGGTCTGAGCCGATGATGAGCTGGAGGATGGGTGGATGGGTGGAATGGAAGCGTGAATCGAAGTGGGATGCCTGATGAGTGAAGAAGAAATGGAGGAACTCGGTGGAAGACGCCTCTTTTATGGCCCTCTATCGTGTTCCTCTGGCGACGACGAGAGGCAGGTGTTGAGGGTAGACGCCTGCCTCGATGCCTGATTGAGAGGGAGGTGTTGGGAAGAGAGCAGCCGCCACTCCCATGTATGTAGCCTGCCACTCCCCAGCGAGTAGAGGCCAAGGTAGGCATGGTCGGCTACCTAGAAACGACTAGGGCAGCAAGAGCTCATGATCATACAGTCGCATTGATGCCGAAATGAACCTTCTCTGGCAGGAGTATGGGCTGGGAGCCATACGAAGGAAGTACCCAGCCCATACTCCCTTCTTGCCATTACCCAGTATGCTAGATACAGCAGGGCTGTGCAAGGATAGAGGTAGACTATCTACCTGTGGCTGAAAACTAGTAGGCTGTCAAGAGGATCGTCCCAACCGGGCGAGCGTGGTGGAGGTGCATGGAGTTCACGAGTTGCGGTGGACGTGATGTCGCAAGGTTGCCGCTCCGTATCTAATAAGCGAATCCTTCGGAGCATGCC